AAAAAGTACTTTCTTTTTCGCTTTAAAACTTTAAAAAAAAATTCATAAAAAACGTTTTAATAACAAGCTTTTATGTAATGATGCACTAAAAAGTAGAAAATAAATTATAGACTACTATTTAAATAACTATAAAGAAAAGCGTGGGTCACTTTAGTATCTATTGGATACCTTTACTAATGTTAAGGAAGACACCCACGCTTTTCTTTATAGTTATTTAAATAGTAGTCTATAATTTATTTTCTACTTTTTAGTGCATCATTACATAAAAGCTTGTTATTAAAACGTTTTTTATGAATTTTTTTTCAGTACTTTACATGTTTTATTTACAATAGGGTTACATGACTAAAAACCATTGCGCGCCTACTGAACATCACGTTCAGTAGGCGCGCAATGGTTTTTGAACGCAGCCATTACGTGATGGCGCAGCTATTGAAGGTGATGACGCGTGTGGTGTGGTTGGCTAGACATGCCTACTAATTCGGTCCAAATATTAATTAATTAATAAAAAATTAATTAGGCATCCAATTAAGTCAAATTTAGTTTCAGATTGCATTGTCTTCATGTCTTGACCCACGTGCCAACTGTGAATCGTATCGGTCAAGTAGAACTGTCTGAATTTTCACTCCTGCGTTTCCGTCTAGACAGACAGACAGAGGAAGTGAGTTAAATAAAAGCTTGTAAAAAAAATTCATAAAAAACGTTTTAATAACAAGCTTTTATGTAATGATGCACTAAAAAGTAGAAAATAAATTATAGACTACTATTTAAATAACTATAAAGAAAAGCGTGGGTGTCTTCCTTAACATTAGTAAAGGTATCCAATAGATACTAAAGTGACCCACGCTTTTCTTTATAGTTATTTAAATAGTAGTCTATAATTTATTTTCTACTTTTTAGTGCATCATTACATAAAAGCTTGTTATTAAAACGTTTTTTATGAATTTTTTTTTCAGTACTTTACATGTTTTATTTACAATAGAGTTACATGACTAAAAACCATTGCGCGCCTACTGAACATCACGTTCAGTAGGCGCGCAATGGTTTTTGAACGCAGCCATTACGTGATGGCGCAGCTATTGAAGGTGATGACGCGTGTGGTGTGGTTGGCTAGACATGCCTACTAATTCGGTCCAAATTTTAATTAATTCATTAAAAATCAATTAGGCATCCAATTAAGTCAAATTTAGTTTCAGATTGCATTGTCTTCATGTCTTGACCCACGTGCCAAATGTGAATCGTATCGGTCAAGTAGAACTGTCCGAATTTTCACTCCTGCGTTTCCGTCTAGACTGACGACAGAGGAAGTGAGTTAAATAAAAGCTTGTAAAAATTGCAAAAGGCATTAAAAATTTAGTTGTTGGTGAATTAAATATTTACAAAGAAAGACATCATGTGTAAAGTCTCAGGGATATCATCCAAAGATCTTTCTTTGATGAAGCTCTGAGTCAAACACAATCACACCATTCTATAACGTCTATCAGAGTCAATCAAAGATTTTTACAGGCTGAACCACGTAGAGCCTAGCCCCCACTTGACCAACAAGATTCCCCATCAGACTTGTGTTACTGGGGTTAAAGTCCAACAACTGACAGAGCCCCGTGGACTGGAACCAGTTGAAGGCCAGACAAATCCGAGTGTCCCTGACCCCCAGACAGCTGAGGGCGCAGAACGTCGGTGTTTCTGTAGTGATTGTGACAATGGGAGACAGACTGAGTACCGTGTCGTCGTACCCTCTGTAGTCCGCTTCCATGGGGTCCATGTACGTCGACATAGCTTCCAGTTCACAAAAATTAAGAAAGTTTGTTGTGTACCTTAAAAAATTGAAAACTTACAGACACAATTATCTCCAAACAAAACACTTTCAAATAATAATAATAAATAATGAATTATATCCGTTTATCATAGTGTGTTATGATGAGTATCAGTTGATCTTAGTGTACACAATTAGGTATACCATCTGATCATATTGTGTAATGATTTATATCGGTTTAGCAGGAATAGGGTTTTAAAGGATTCATATGTTGGTTGTTTAAAATAATTGAATGCTTAATCGATCTTTATAGTAGATTAATGGAGTTACCTGATTAGTCTAAGAAAAGTCCCCAACACTGGAGTTGTACAGTTCCAGATAAAAGTCCCAGGCCCTAGAGGATCAACCTGCTGGTAGCATACGTCACCAGACACCAACGGGAACCCTGGCATCAAACGCGGGTCTGTTCTAAACACATCGATCTTGAAGTTTTCTAGTCTTGTGGCCAAACTATCGAATCTGGGCAGAGATACAATATTGTTTTACTAATAACTTTTGAAATAGATTCTACACATCTTATGAACAGTTTCGTAAATATCAGTATATTTCCACAACTCGCGAATCCAGTCTTTGACTTCAGCAATCACTAACATGTTAGCTGGGAAAAGCCTAGGTTATGTAAGTTATGTTTAAAAAGAACTATATGCTACGGTAAACATTTTATTTCATGTTTCATGCATCTACATAATAAAACGTGTCTAAAATGTATTGTAATAACGAATCTATTAAGCAAAATATTTGGCAGATTATTGTTCGTATACACTAAATAGAAAAAAAAATTATTTATACTGCTGGTAATGAATAGAATTATGAAATGTATCTATTTTTTTGTAAAATCTTCAAACGAACTTCTCAAAACTAGTATCAAAATGTACTAATCACTAAGACATTTTCTAACATAATATGATAATAAAGTGACACAACCATTTAGAATATCAAACAATTATTATATATCCAGTTTACTACTTGCAGTCCCGGCTAGGCCTTGCACTGGCCTATGATAAAAACTTTTCTATAAAGGGTCGTTGTTTATGTACTTATCAAGGATCATTGTAGTTGTATGCACAGTTAAATTGAACAAGATTAATGGAGATTGTTTGACCACATGTTAGTTCATTTAACTCAATACTTGGATGTATATTTATACCACATATTTATTCTATTAGAAGATATTTTATTAGAAAATTACACACGAAACCTGTAAAAACATGCAGCGTATGCTTCGGTCATATATAACATACACATTTTGTGTATCGAATCTGGTATTTTCCCAGTTGCCTACCTTATTTCAAGTTTGCGTCGCAAAACTAAATGGATACATACAATAACATTAAATCACAATAATTTCCAGTAAATTGTATGCGTTTGTCCCTTAACACACTTCAGTTCAGTGTTTCATTCAGATCTTTTTTGCTTGATATTTCCGGAAGGGGCGAGTACTAAATTTTCCGGGGAGGGGGCGGACAATAGTTAAAGTATATATTTTCTGTATAAATTATATTTCGTTGGGGGGGGGGGGTAGATGTTTTTCATCTGTATAAATTATTTTTGAAGGTAATCAATCGAATGTAATTTTCGCTTACCTGTTCGTGAAAATAATGTTGTCGACCAGGTACCACACCTGTAGGTCAACAAGCCACCAGCTTGGGTTCTCACTTAAAGTGTGAGTGCAAACATATTTCGTTGGGTCTCGGTTTTGTTACCGTCATTTCCATGACTAGCAATGGAATCATCGGCATACGTTGAACTTTGAAAAGCAGGTTTGAAGAGTGCAGCATTCACCAAGGTCTGTGAATCTACAAAATGGCTTACGCCGTAAGTTATGAAAACGAAGATGGTATGGTAAAACATTTTCTAACATTCACACGTCTCTTCTGCTAGACTGTGTTTTCTGAAATGAGCATGTTTTCGACATCATACACTGTTAGGTCACGTTTGGCGGATTTATTTTAAGATGTTCCGATAGCTCCTGTGGTACACAATAATTAATGAGTTGCCTAGTTATTAGAGAAAAAAACAAGCATTTCTGTAACGTTATATACTTCCTATCATAACTTGAAAGAATAATCGATCACTCATTCTACGTGCCTCGATGGTTATCATGCGCCATGCCCTATTTTAGGGGTCTCCAAACTTTTCAGCCCTAGGGCCGTTTTAACTATTAAATATCATTTCGGGGGCCAGAGTTCCTTACATGCATCTCTTTGGGGTGGCGGTGTCCCCCCCTGCCCTCCCCCTCCCCCAACGAAATATAATTTATATAGAAATATATACACATTTAAATCCCCCCCACTCCAGGAGAAAAAGTCTGAAAGAAACACTGTCGGGGTCGACAACACACTCGAGTTCCAAGTTTATTATCCTTGGGCAAATACAAAAACACACCCGCCATTTTTTAAACTTATCTCTGAGGAAGTCATTTGCTTGCAATTCAATGGACCTCCATCTGCAGTTTATCTGGGGCAACTGGTTACAATTGCTTCAAATGAGTTTTGAAACAGTCTCACTTCTTCTGCCTTTGAATCCTAGTCAGAAAACCGCTACTGAAACTGCAGTTGGAGGTCCTTGATGATCTCGCATACAAATGATGTGGGGAACTCAGCTGTTGCTTCAGCCATAAAGACCTTGCACTGCTGAAAGTGCGTCAAGTTGTTGCCCTGTACTTGTTCCAAAACATGGAACAGCTGTCCAGCGACTCATCCATTGCAATTGAAAAATTGCGAAACTTGTTTGCAATTTCCACTATTTGAGTCACAATGTTTTCTTCAATGTCTGCAACACTGCGGGCAATGGTATTTGCACCTAAAGATACATTTTCAAATTGTTTTGAATTTTCGGGGCAAGGTTTCCTCAGCCACCTCTAACAAACATTTTTTTCCGTGAACAAAAAGATCACCGCGGGCCGGATAAGAGGACCTCGCGGGCCGCAAACGGCCCGCGGCCGTAGTTTGGAGACCCCTGCAAACGAATTAAAGGGCATTTTTGAAAGGGTCTTGACGGCTTATTTTTTATTTTGGGGGGGGGGGGGGTGGGTAGGGGGGTCTGACGTTTTGTGACAATGTGTGGCGGTTGGCAGGAAGGGAGGGGGTGATAATAATCGTTTATAAAATACTGATGTCATTTGTGGATTAACCTCCCCCCCCCCCCTCAATTTAACTATTGTCTCAAAAATACTTTCCACGTACTCCAGGGGCGGATGTGAACGTCACTGACCAAGATGGCTGCACGCCCCTGCTGATGGCCGCCACTGAAGGTCTGGATCACGTGATACACAGCCTCTGCCAGACGCCAGGAGTTGATGTCAACATAGCCACACACTCCAGCAGGAAAACACCGCTACATATTTTTAGCTTATAAAGGACACATCAGGTAAAAACGGTACAAATTACACTTCGTACTGGACATTTTTGTAGTCATAGTAACATTTTCTTAGAGTTTCAATGTCACAAAATCAACAGATGAACTGTTAGTCATTTATTCGATGGAACTGTAGTTGCTGAAAGTGCAGTTTACATTCGTCATTCGCTCTTACAGCAAAGATAATCTAAATATATTGAAATGACGTGTTCATAGTTTCTTTTAGGCATCTCTTCAAGGGGGGGGGGGGGGTCACTGCCCCTACCTGGATTACTGCCTCCATCCCCTCCCCCCTCTCCCCTCCCCCCCCCCCGCCCGGACGAAATAGACAATATCTTTTTCGATATAGACATCTTTTCCCTTTTGGGCCCAAGACACATGGGGCCGCCACAGAAAGCTCCATCCACTTTTGTCAGTCTCCAACAATTTTCCTGGCAGTCCCTAATGACAGTCCTGCCTCTGCCAGCTGCTTCCCCCCCCCCCCCCCCCGCCGTACACCTCCACGTCTCTCTTGGCCTTCCCTTCTTTCTTTTTCCTTGAGGCGTCCAGTTTAGCGCCATTCCTGCGATGTCTTCGGAATTCATTCTTAGGACTTGCCAGCTATATAGTTTATAATAAAAACGTATACTTTAACCAGTGTCCGCCCTGCTTTTTCCAGAAATTTAAATGCACCCCCCCCCCCGCTTAAAAAAGTTCACCCCCCACCCTAAGAGAAATAATGTCTTAAAAGAAACACTGCTCACTCAGAGTGCATGGCTGTCGCCTGAATCTCCATACTTCCAATGTCACCCAGGTGTGTCAACGACCTGATAGCAGCAGGGGCGGACATCAACCTACCTGACAAGGAGCAGAAAACACCTCTGTGGTACGCCGTTGCTAAGGAACGGTATGACATCACGGCACTGCTGCTGCGGGCCAATGGGATGGTGGACACCTATCAGGTACACTCAGCTTTCTGGCACTCAGCTCTCTGGTTACATTTATGTTTGAGCGTGTCAAATATTTACACAAATGTGAGTTGGTTACTGCATCTCACAATGATGAAATAAATAATAGCGGATTACATGTCAGAAACAAATACAAGATTACATACCGAATTGCATACCAGATTACATACCAGATTACATACCGAATTACATACCGAATTATATACCGAATTACATACCGAATTACATACCAGAATACATATCAGAATCACATACCAGATTACATGCCGAATTACATACCATATTACATACTATATTACATACAAGATTACATACCGAATTACATATCATATTACATACCAGATTACATACTAGATTACATACCGAATTACATACCAGATTACATACCGAATTACATACCGAATTACATACCATATTACATACCATATTACATATCATATTACATATCATGTTACATATCATATTAAATATCATATTACATATCATGTTACATATCATATTAAATATCATATTACATATCATATTACATACCAGATTACATACTAGATTACATACCGAATTACATCCCAGATTACATACCATATTACATATCATATTACATACCATATTACATACCATATTACATATCATATTATATATCATATTACATATCATATTACATACCGTATTACATACCATATTACATACCGAATTACATACCGAATTACATACCAGATTACATACCATATTACATATCATATTACTTATCGTATTACATACCGTATTACATACCATATTACATACCAGATTACACACCAGATTACATACCATATTACATGCCAGATTACACACTATATTATGCACCACTAAAGTAACATATACAAACAGGTTCAACTAGAATACAATCCATTTGACAGCGAACTTGTTTTACCGTGAATGGAAGTAGACGGTAAGGCCAGGCTCTGGGACCATTTATATTTATGATTTTTGAAAAGTAGAACATATTCAGGTTGACCAAGTTGCTAGTCCGTCTGACTTCATACCAGAAGAGCATGGTTCAAATACGGAATGGATTAGAACTAAATACCTGTTATAAATATTTATCATTCAAAACATTTCTATTTATTATGGATTTGAATCGGTTCTTTTTTCAAAGATTTTAAAAAAGATTTTATAATATATATAACTATATTAGTCTATATCTATAATATAACGCTGGTAGTAGTGTGTCAATCCTTCCTACCTTCCTTTCTTCCGACATCGCTATAGATTTTAGAACCATAAATGTAAACACCTTTTATTTATATATTTTATTGCACAAATTTACATTTTTGAACAGCTCCTCTGAATTCATATTGACATGTCCAATGCAAACAGCCAAATTTGACGGTGGCCTTGGTCTCCTCAATTTTTGCATTAAGACTGTCATTGTGGGTAATTGGTGCTGGGAACTTGCCAGCCTTGTTCAAACCCGGCCCTAAAACACTGGAAATTTGACGGGTCAGAGACTCAGAAGCAAGGAAGGCGTAGTACTTCTTGTCTAATTTTTACTTTCTCGTATACGAAGTATTAAGAAAGTCTTGTAATCGTGCAAAAAAAAATCGAGATTTTTGTAGATCTCGACAAAAAAAATCGAGATTTTTGTAGATCTCGACGTTTTACTCCTCCCTGAGTCGGAAAAAACTTAGTTTTGCAATCTTGTCCGTATGTCTGTGTGTGCGTGTATGTGTGTGTGGATGTCTGTAAACACGATAGCTTGAGTACCGTTACAGCTAGGTTGATGATATTTCGTTTATAAGTATTATATCAAATTTGTAGATCCATAACAGCTTTTGAGCCATTTCCGATAACCGGAAGTGGAACTTTTTCTTCTTTCAATTTTTTAAAAGCCTTTTACTATATATATATATATATATATATATATATATATATATATATATATATATATATATATATATGTATGTATATATATATATATATATATATATATATATATATATATATATATATATATATATATATATATAGTTTGTCTTGTGTGCCTGTGAGTCTGTATATGGCTGTGTATGTGACTGTGTTCGGGTGTGTATACCTATACCCGCATACAGCGCCAACTATCCATCTATCGGATGCACATGCTCTGCCCTCATCTATCAGTGCCCTCTACACGGCGGTGACGACACATGCCCTGTGAAGATTGCCGTTCAGCTGAAGCTTGTGAAGATCTTGAAGCTGTTCATCCTGAGCGGCTACGACAACCAGCACATGAGGGAGGCACTGAGGGTGCCAGAGACACAGGCACTCTTCGTCAACAACCAGGTCTATGTGTGTGTGTGTGGGGGGGGGGGCTTGTTCATGCTTGTTTTTGTGGTCCTGTGTGTGTTGGGTAGGGTTCATGCTCGTGTTTGTGGTGCTGTTTGTGGAGGATCCTGTGTATGTGTGTAGGGGTCCTATGAGTATGTGTGTGTTTTTGTGTTTGTGGATCATGTACATGTGTGTGGGGGTGGGGGGTGGTTGGGGGGGGGGGGGTTCCTTTTGTGTTTCGGTACTGAATTTGAGTCATATACCCATCCAGTTAAGTTTGACCCCCCAAACCTTCAACATCATCAGAAACTTCTACATCATTTCTTGAATGTAAATGTTGCCATTAGCAATTATATTGGTGTGATGAAATATTTTGATCTTTGGCGAAAATGAAGTAGAGTTCATGCAGAGTTTCTTCCAGGCGATTTTTACCCCCCCCCTCCCCCCCCCCCCCCGAACGAAATGAAATTTATATAATTTATATAGAAAATATATACTTTTAACAGTGTCCGCCCCCCCCCCCCCCCGAAGAAAGTTTACCGCCCCCCCCCCCGAAAATTTCAAGTGCCCCCCGGAGAAAAAAGTCTGGAAGAAACACTGAGTTCGTGCTTTTGACATGGGATAGTGTTGTCAGAAAATGACCCGCAGCATTTCTTTTATTCAAGCGAGGGACTCCATCAGAGTTTGGACTTATTTTGATGATAATATGATAGTGAAATCGTTTTAGATAAGACCTTGTGCTTATACCGGTACTGTAAGTTAATGATTTCACAAAACACTCAGTCTTGTTATTACATGAGTGATTATAGCATTATGTATCCTCAGTGGCGTAGCGAGGTCGGGTGCGGCACTTAATGGTGTCACCTTCCCCCAGAGGCGTAGCGACCCTTCCCGCTGACAAACTTTCAATTTTCGATTTCCAACCTCCCCCCCCCCCCGCCTCACACTTTCGATTTCCACCCCCCCCCCCCTCAAACTTTCGATTTGCACCTCTTAAGGACTATTTAACACTCGAATTAAACACTTAATTTTTCTCTATATATTTTGCTATTTTTTGCCTTGGTGTCACCCCCTTAAACGGTGTCACCCGGTGCGGTCCGCACCCCCGCCCCCAGCCCCCCGCCCCCTCGCTACGCCTCTGTGTATCCTGCAGACCTTTACGTCTTACAACTACTAACGCGAAAGTCTCGAGTTCGGATCCCAGGTTCGAATTTGGAGGACGACCCGTGAGACCACCTTGGTCTGATGGGTACCAGACTTAAGTTAGGGAAACAAAGGTGGCTGGGTATAGTCCTGACCACACTATTCCCTTGTATGCAGAGGTCATTGAAATAGATGAACTCTACTTCATTTGTACAATATGTCTTCGGCACGAACGAGAAAAGATTATGCTGATCCTCTCCAGGCCTACAAAATAGTTAAATAAATGGCTTATCTGCTTCAAAAAACGAGAGCTCTTGTAAAAAAAAAACAACCAAAGAACTTATTAGCTACAATAAATATGCGATAATATTAAACCGTGTTTTTTTATTTTCCCAGATCAGCCATTGGCTACTTCACGCACAGGAAGTGACGTCACTCCGTCAAATTTGCCGGAAATGGTTGCGCCATCACTTGGGGTACCGTTTGTTCATGGACATCTCAAAGCTTCCCCTTCCCCAGAAGATTCTAGACTACGTGTGTATGAAAGAGCTTGAAGCAGTTGCCGTGTAGCAGTGATAGATTGCAAGATGCCACGGTTGGATTAAGCTTGAGGTGTAATACAAATTGGATTCAATGTTAAGCTATACAGCGGCTTCTTTGAAGTGTTAAAAGGCTTTGAAAAGTTATATTGTCACGTTGGTTTTTGCATGCCGTGTCATTGTACAGTTTATACAGTGTTTTGATACAATGTTTGATACAGTGTTTAACAAAACTGAACTCGCCGAAACTTTTCCAAACGTCTATGTGTCCCAAAGAGTTCTCACTTCTATTCATTTTAAAATCAAGTCGTCTATTGCTTTTAATTTTTATCCGTCCAGTGTCCATTTACATTTTGATGTATTAAGGCTACACAATGCTAGTCTAGTTCAAGTCCAGTTCGAGAATAGGGCTGGTAAGTAGGTCATCAACCAGTTGTATGGCTCATGCAGGTTTTATTGCGCCGTAGAACTGGTTGGTGACCTACTTACCAGCCCTATTGTCTCCCACACTCTCAGTGTTCTCAAGATATTTTTCAGGCAGGAATATAAGTACCGACAAGTCATGGTTTGGTCTAGATATACGTAGAATCATCAAACTAGGTGAGACATTGTGCCTAGGCCATCTGCTGGCATAAGGCTACTCGCCTGAAGCTCAACTATTTTCCCAACTTGGCCACCCATATCCCATATTTGGCCACCAGTGTTTGCGCTGATCACTCATGGTACCAAGGCCATCCATTTTCCCAACTGGGCCACCCATAGTCCGTGCTTGACCACCCGTGTTTGCGCTGGTCACCCATTGTCCCAAGCCTTCCTGTTATCTCCGGGTAGCAAAAACCTCCCTAAGACCATCAACATAAATTTTCGTTCAACTAACATTTGAAAATATTAGACATTCTCTCGATTTAGAACACTTCAATTTAATTTCTGTAAACACTGCCATTGCAGCACATTGTAGAAACTTTTAACAAGCTACGACATTGTTCTTTAGCCTGGAATGGTGTCCTATAGTCTGAAAATAGCTAAAAGAACTATATTGTAGCACTTAAAGTACCAGTGAATACCAACAGAGATGGCTGATGACTCTCTGTACCCCAGAATTGAGACCTTGATGATGCTGGATTTTGAACCATTTAAAAAAAATAATTTGTTAGTTGTTGTCGGAATAATATAAAATTCTTAATTTTTATGAAAATAGCTAAATAAAAAGAGTATTTTTCAAATAATTTTGTTCAGGTTGTGAGTTTTTAATTCTTATTATTGGTTGATGGTGAAAATGGTTTCTGATGTCATTCCGGGGAGGGGGTCATGTCCAGAGGAATTTTGTTACCGGGATCGGGTGGGGGAGGAGGGGGGTGTTTGGTTGCGCTTATGGTAAAATTAGTAATTAGTGAAATGGACCAAACTTGTAAGACAACACGTAAAAATCCATGTAATTACAGTCTATGTTATAACCTTACGGTTGTAAACGGGCTATAAACCTCAAACACCCAATTGCCTTACTGTTTATTCACATTCACGATTAAATGGGACAGTGTGGTCGAATGGTAGATAATCCACCCATCTCTGATTGAGTGAGGATGGGGGGGTGGGGTCATCAATAAATGATGTGACGCTTTTTTGCCGAGTTCCCCATGTCAGGTCGGCCATGTCTAGCGGTCAAGACTGCTAACCCTCCAGCATTGTTTCTTCCAGACTTTTTTTGTACGGGGGGGGGGGGGGGGGGGCTCTTGATATTTTCGGCGGAGCGCCCCCCGGAAGAGATGCCTGGAAGAAGCTCTGCCTCCAGATCTAATCCGGGTTCAAGTCAGTCGAACATCCTGGGTCTACCCAGCTCCGATTCGGACCTAACTCACGTTAGGGAAAGAAAAGTCGGCTGAGCATAGCGCTCACCTTACTGTCGGCGTGGTCGGATGGTAGCACTCACGACTACTAACTTGAAAGTCTCGTCCATGAGTCCACAACTCATAGATACCTAACTCGCATCAGGAAAACTAAGGCGTCTTGGAAAATTGTTAACTACACAATCCCACTGAGTTCCCAGGTCATTGAAACAGATGAACTCTAACTCTGCCCATAGTTTCTCAAGCACGAACGGGAAAATGCTGATCTTGTACTGGCTTCCATATGTTGATATCAGATTCTTACAATCCTTACACGATTCCGTGTACCAATCTAACCTCATAAGTCATACTTCTTTACACTAAGTAAAAATAAACCGGGAGTGATCTCCCCTAAACTTTCTCGAATATTCTTATATAACTCGGAATATAGACATGATTTTTAAGTACTTAAACTTTTAAAAATAGAATAAAATCTAGTAGAAAAAAGAATTGCGCACCAAGCGAACTGCAAAACAAAATGTGTATAATAGTGTGCAATATTATTAGTACTTTATAAATTTACATGCGTTTTTTGAGAAATCGAAAATTACTCAAAATTTGACAGAAGGTAGAGAATTAGATTTTTTACTTACGTGTGAAATTTCATTTATCTATCTGAAATAATACTCAAGTTACAGGCTTTTGAAAAATTCAAAGTAGAAAAAATACAACTTCCGGTTACAGGAAATCGCTAAAAAGTTGATACGGATCTACAATTTTGATAAAATACTTATATATGAAATTTCATCAACCTAGCTGTAACGGTACTCAAGTTATCGTGTTTACACACACACAGACACACGCACGCACAGACACACACACACACACACACACAGACATACGGACAAGATTGCAAAATTATGTTTTTCCGTATCAGTGATTTTTTTTTGCACGATTACAAGACTTTCTCTATACTTCGTATATACGAGAAAGTAAAAAAGTCCAGAGTAACCAGTTTCTACACAAAAAATTACTCTCTATGTTCGCGTCATCATTTCATGCATTCCTTATCTCTTTCGCACTAACTTTCTTTCGCACCTCCCAAACCCAACTCATAATAATAATAGTATGTTCCTATTGTTACTCTTCAGATTAAAGTTATTTGTAAGCACATTAGACATCTTAAAAACACAGAACCAACACAGAGATATATACGAAGACGGCTGACAACGAACGTATAGAAACTTTTTTTTATTGTACTTTTGAACATTTAATTCGAAATTTTAACATTGTGCTTAATACACTTGCAAAGTATGCCTAACATTACAAATACATAAAGAATCAAAAAAAAAGAAAGAGTGAAAAAAAAATATAAAAAATGTCAGAGAGGCTAACTGCTACCGAAAATTATCAGACATTTATTTTTATAAATTTTAGACATACGTTATTTAATCACACAATAGGTTTTAAGATATTCATTTTATGAGATCAATTCAGTGGCGTAGCTAGGAGTTTTGGGCCCCTATGCAAAAAGTGTTAGTGGGCCCCTCGATTTGCACCCCCCTAAGACTTTCGATTTGCACCCCACCTCAAACTTTCGATTGCCACCCCACCCCCCCCCCACAGACTTTCGATTTGCACCCCCCCCCCTCAAACTTTCGAAAAACGGCCCCTATTTGCCTTGGGCCCCTATGCTTTGCTTTAAGCTAGCTTTACGGTAGCTATGCCACTGGATCAATTGCTATAAGATTTAAAAAAAAATGTTTCGTTGAAGTGTTCAGCAGATAAACATTTTAAACCGAAATAAGAATCTAGCTTGGTATTTACTTCATTTTAATTTTATTTACAATCATTTTATAATTTTAAGTTAAAATACATTTTCTAGGACTTATATCAAAAAGATCAAAATATATGTTGAAATTATTATTTTCAATTTTTTAAATTATAAAAAAATATAAATATGTATAAAAGCGTGTTATAGAAATATTATTTTCTGAAGACTGTAAAACATTTTAAATTACTAGAGAATTTGGAGCTCAGCTTGACATATATGATGAAATTAATAGATGCAGTTGACTGGTATAATGTAGTCGTCAGGCTTATCATAAAACCATAATCGTCACTTACGTGTATCGAAACCATTTCTTCAACTACTGTTAGTGGTGTAACTATTACAACAAATGATACACAAATAGCAATCATCACTTTAATTGCTTTAAGTTCTTTTTTTCCTTTTATTTCACTACAAGCCAAATTTTTAAATTTGTTCGAATTGAACTTAAGTTTTAAAATAATTAACGATGTACACAATATTATTATTACTAAAGGCACAATAGCAATCAAAAACAATCTATAAGATTCAAAGATGTGATTAAAATAAAACGCATTCGACAGTGATGAAAGAGACAGAATGTCATTTGAGAGAAATTTACTACAATAGCCAGCAATGAATTTATTTTTAACCGTAGATATTATGAAAACATAAACAGCCAATAAAATAACAATAGATTTCATACGTCTAGGCTTACACAATTTAGAAACATTGAATGGCATTGATACGGCAAGCAACCTCTCAACGGAAATCAATGCTACAATTTGATAACTAAAAGCAGAAGAAAAAGCAAAAATTATTTTATTATTTAATTCCATTGCACTGTTATACTTTAAATCATTAATAACCCCATACGGTTTATATATTATGTAACATTGTCTAATGAGGCCAGAGCATGAGAAGATCAAATCAGAAACGGCCATAGAAAAAATAAACACATTCGTTGAAGAGTTCAAATTCTGGCGGTAAACGATCACCATGGTAACAGCGCTACTGAATATCCCAAATACTACAGTTAGTGCAAAGATGACAAAACTCAGTACATCAAAAACAAAGCTTTCTACATCAACTGGCACTTCTTCTGTAGGCGACACTGTTGTAGGTTCTGAATTAAGTGTTTCTGCTTCAAAGATTTTACCATGAGACATTATGGCTGAGATTAGAAATGCATATTTCTTATTTCTGAAAAATATCAGGCATAGCAGCTTCCTGTATATATGCATACACACACACACACACAGATATATATATATATATATATATATATATATATATATATATATATATATATATATATATATATATATATATATATATATATATATATATATATAATACTAACGTGCCCGTCAGCGCGATGATGCGGTCTCAAATGAAAGTATGATGTAATATTTTAAGAGGGTTCCAACATTGCGATACAAATCCTATAATCTTAGACGCGTGGCCGTGTTTTCAAAAACCTGAGTTATTTGAAACATATCCTGCGCTATATCTATAGCAGGGGTCTACAAACTACGGCCCGCGGGCCGGATGCTTATCCGGCCCGCGCAGATATTTTTGTTGGAGGTGGCTGAGGAGCTTTGTCCAGAAAATTCATAACAATTTGAAAATGTAGCTTTGGGTGCAACTACCGTTGCCTACCGTGTTAAAGACTCAAATAGCGAAAAATGCAAGCAAGTTTCGCAATTTTTCAATTGCAATGGATGAGTCGCTGGACAGCTGTTCCACCTCTCAACTGCTTGTGTTTATTAGAGGTGTGGATGAAGACATAAACATCACACAAGAGCTGGCTTTTATGACTCTGTTACCGGAGAGGATATATTCAATGAGTTAAAAAAAACATTTGCTGATTCAAACTTAGACTGGACTAACCTCAGTTACCTGACTGCTGATGGAGGAAAGTGGCATAAAGAAAGGCTTGATTGACAAGCGGAGCAGATGTGTAATGAGAAAAACATTCCCAAATTTTCATGGCGAAAGGATGAAAATTGTAGAAATGCATTAAAGCCAAAAAAATCTACAGAAAAAAAAAATACATAAAGACGTTAGAACAGGGGTCGGCAACCTGCGGCCTCGCGAGCCGCATGCGGCTCTTTAGATGTCAGGAAACGGCTCGCCAGTTCTATGATTATTATATTATTTTATTTTCATAACTCATAAAAATATTATACTGTAAAAAAAAAAACTTAAAAAACAAGATAAAAAAAAATCATAAAAACGTTTTAATTACAAGCTTTTATGTGAAAGTATCCAATAGATACTAAAGTGACCCACGCTTTTCTTTATAGTAATTTAAATAGTAGTGTCTAATATTTAGGAAAAGACCCACGTTTTTCTTTATAGTTATTTAAATAATAGAGTATAATTTATTTTCTACTTTTTAGTGCATCTAATATATAAAGCTCAGTTCTGTATGTAACGCATATGTTTGTCGTTGGTCTTCGATGGATTTAAGTGTTATAATATTATCGTGCGCATTTGTCTAAATTTATGAGTTAAA